ATATCTTAATCTTGCAATCTTTTGGTTTCTCAAACTTAATGCAGCATTTGATTGGATTAGATCTAAGGGATTAGAGTGATTTGATTAGATGCTAGATTCATTGAGGCAAGGGATTGTCCTTTGATTAATATAACGTGAAATTGATTGTCATTCCATCTAAATGCTTGAAAGTGTAGAACTTTATTGATTCAATGTTGAAGTTTTGGTGAAACAATTTCCTAGCTACTCTTTCTACATCTGTTTACTATATACTTTTATGCTAACTGTTCTGTTTTACTTTCTAATTTTGTTTTTGATACATTCATACCAAATCGATCTGAAATTTGTAAAGCTCAACTAATTGTGATCTTGTGAAGTGGTAATTGAGAACTTTATTCCCTGAGGATGATACTTGGAACTCAATTTGATTCTAAGATTTTTTATAACTTGCTACAACAACACTAGTACACTTGCTAGTCAGTTTACTTCCAGTGCAATAGCAGTTGTAAAAGTAACAAGAATCCATTAACTCAGTAAGGATTACAAGAAAGTTTAGCCCTCCATAAGGATGAATCTTACAAATTTAAGATGAAAGCAAAGGGAATTCAATGACATCAATGCAAGAATTAAAGAAAAGTGAAGAGAAATTGTAAATCAAACCCTAAAATTGGCCTTGGCTGTCACCCAAGGATCCTAAGCTCTGCAAAATGCTCCCAAAGTGGCAAAAGAACCTAAACTTATGAAAAAAAATCCGTACCCTAATTTCTAAAAATCTATATATACTAAGTCTGACATGGCTTCATAGTGATCACTCTGTAAACAAGAGTGATTACGCGCAGCAACTTCAGATTTTTCCCTTTCTGGAGTGATCACTCTCACTTTTGAGAGTGATTACGCGCAAGGCTCTGTGATTCTGGAGCTTTCTGGAGTGATCACTCTCACTTCTGAGAGTATTTACGCGCAGGCACTGGTGGTTCTCTTAGCTCTAGAGTGATCACTGCTGCTTCTGAAAGTGGTTACTCTGGCCTATCCCTTGGAATCAGCTCCCTGGAGTGATCACTATAGTACCTGAGAGTGATTACTCTGACTTCATATTTCCCTAAGAGCCAAAAATTCATGAAATTTGTCTAGAATTTCCTGCACAATTATTCAAATGATCAAAATTGCAAAATATATTCACAAAAATTAGCGAAAATAAGACAAAAATTAGGAAAGCTATAATATTTGAGCTAAATAAGGATCGTAATTTTGAGATCTCCCAGCTCCAACACAAGTGGTAAACATCTCCCAGCTCCGTCGCTGAATTTCTTCCTGAAATTGAGTGCATGTGCCCTCTTGGATCTCAAAATTACGATCCTGCACTATCTGCCTTCGCAGGATCGTAATTTTTGTCTTATTTCCACTAATTTTTCTGAATATATTTTGTAATTTTGATCATTTGAATAATTGTGCAGGAAATTCTAGACAAATTTCATCAATATTTGGCTCTGGTGAAAATATGAATTGAGAGTAATCACTCTCAAGTACCATAGTGATCACTCCAGGGAGCTGATTCCAAGAGGTAGGCCAGAGTAACCACTTTCAGAAGCAGCAGTGATCACTCCAGAGCTAGAGAGAACCACTAGGCCTGTGCGTAATCACTCTCAGAAGTGAGAAGGATCACTCCAAAAAGCTCAAGATTCAAAGTACCTACGAATAAACACTCTTAGAAGTGAGAGTGATCACTCCAGAGAGCTTCAGGATGAAGAGCCCTGCGCGTAAACACTCTCAGAAGTGAGAGTGATCACTCCAGAAAGGAAAAAATTTGAAGTTGTTGCGCATAAACACTCTTGTTTACAGAGTAATCACTATGGGGCCATGTCAGACTTAGTATATATAGATTTTTAGAAATTAGGGTACGAACCTTTTCATAATTTTAGATTCTTTTGTCACTTTGGGAGCATTTTGCAGAGTTTAGGATCCTTGGGTGACAGCCAAGGCCAATCTTAGGGTTTGATTTACAATTTCACTTCACTTTCCTTTAATTCTTGCATTAATGTCATTGAATTCCTTTTGCTTTCATCTTAAATTTGTAAGACCCATCCTCATGGAGGGCTAAACTTTCTTGTAATCCTTAGTGAGTTCATGGATTCTTGAATTCCTGGGTATGAATGTCAATATAATTCCCTTTCCTTTATGAATTTATATTTCCCAACTCTTTGAATTGAATTAACGTTTGAATAAGGGGAGATTGCTTAATTAACCCTAATTCATTTTAATGAAATTCGTAACTTGGTTTGCTTAATCCTAAGTTAGTTTCTAAGGTTGCGTAATCTTAGGGAAAGGGTTGGAGCCCATGTAAATTGCTTAATTCATATGGGACTTTGAGGTTAATTTTTGCTTTTTGAGTTACCCTAATTCAGAGGAAGAGGAAAAGTATTAAATCTTAAGAGTGATAGGGATAGAATTACATGAGCAAACTAAGGATTGCACATTTTATTGATTAGATTCATTAATTTCATCACTTACCTTTACATTAAAATTGGAATCACACAAAACCCCCTTATTTTAATTGCTTTCATAGTAAATGTTTACAACATGTTCAATGTATGTTACAAACCAAAGTCATTGGAGACAACCTAGGCTTGCATCCTAGACTACATAAATTTTTCTGTATATTTTGATGAAGGTTGACGACAAATCTTTTATGCAAAACGAAAATTATTCATTCATCATTGGTCCCTTGGGTCAACTACAATTTGGTTGTAACCAGAGTATCCATCTAAAGAATAGTAGTAGTCATACCCAGCTAATATTTTGTTTTTCCATTTTGGGATGAATAATTCAGATTCTTCTTTCATTTCTCTGTTTCTGATTCTGAGTAAATATTTTGTTGTGTACTTCTTCATGTGATTGTCACACTTCATTTTGAAAAAGAAAGAGATTATTACCGTTTGTGCATATGGATTTGTAAGGTGAATTGTGAACATGATTGATTGATATTATCACCTTGATTTTGCTGCACCCTCTAGAACTTGCTTTGTTTCTTGATTGAATATGCAATTTTACAATTCTCACATATATGATGGAGGCCTTATTTGATTATGCCTAGTTAGCCTAAATGAACCTCTTTTTGTGCTTGAATGTCCTAGTTCACCCCTTTAAGCTTTGATGACAAACCATTTTAACTATTCAAAGGAAAAGAGGCAAATTGAGTCTAATCAAGGATGAGTTTAAAGCTAAGTTTGGGGTGGCATCCAAATTTTATTTGCTTAAAGACAAGCAATGTTCTAAGTTTAGGGTGGAGAATAGCAAAGCTATCTATGTTTTGGTTTCAAAAAGAAAAAAATAAATAGCGAAATTGTGAGTTCAAAAGAAAGATATACAGCAAAATGCAACAAAAAGAAAAAAGAAAATTAATAAAAGGAATGAAAAGAAAATAGTGAATGAAAGCAAGAAAAGAAAATTCGGAATTCTGCTGCATGAATGAACATTGTTGTTGATTCAAAAGAAATTCTGTTTGCTGCATAATTGAGGGAATTATTGAAAAATAATGCAGTTCCATGCTAGTTTTAAGTTCATTCACTCAAAATGTTTCTTTTCTTTTGGAATTGCATGTATTTTTTCTCATTTTGTTCAATACTTACCTTAACCTTAGCCCTATGATAACCTGAAAAAAAAAAAAAAACTCTCTTCATGTGTGATTGACTGTATTAAGCAGAGGAGATTGACAATATGGGCAAATATATGGTAAGGTGAGGTAAAATTGATGATCTTGAGGGTAAACACTCACCTTAAACACTTATGAGTGAGAGGGAAACACTTTCTTGTGAGTGGTAATGATATCTTTCATTAATGTTTCACATGTTGCTTTGCTGTTCATTAGCTTAAATTTGCAAGATTCTGCATAAAAGGATTTATTTGAGTGTGACTTTCATTATGAATGAATGCATGAATGATTTGTTGAAAGGATAATTGGAAGGAATGATGTGGAATGAAGAACTCTATACAATCTGAAAATAAAGTGTATATAAAAAGATTTTCATTATTGTTTTCATGATGCATTGAATACCCCTTGGTGTGTTTTGGTTTGCTTGAGGACAAGCAAAAATCTAAGTTTAGGCTGGGGGCCAAAGTCTCAATTGCCAAATACAACTAAACACTCATGGTTTTGGCTTGTTGGCCTTATAGGTTCTAAAGTTACACATAGCTCCAAAATGTTAAAAATAAAGTAAAAAAGGTAAAATCATACAAGTGTTGTGAAATAAATTCCTAACTACCATTCTTCCATTTCTAATCTCCACATAATATTCAACTCTGTGTTTTTCTGCAAGTTCTTTACTTTTTAATTACTCTGGTTTACTGCGATTACATGTTACAACTCTCCTTCCAAATTTGTATGGCTCAAATTGTTATAATTCTATGAATTGATACTTGAAATCTAAATTTCCTGTGGAGACGATATCCTGTTCTTAAAAATCACTTATTACATACTGCAATTCCTAGTGCACTTGCTAGTGTTTAGAGAATTTCAACAACAAGTTTTTGGCGCCGTTGCCAGGGAATTTTGAATTTCAATCTTAATAATAGCAGAAAAGTAGCTAGATTGAGCATATTGTTTCTTTAAATTTCTGCAATATTAGTTGAATAGTTGATTCTACATTTGTGAATTTCTGATAGAACTGATATTATTTGCAGTAGTCAGTTTGCATATATACTGTGATTCAATTTAGAGGTTGTCCCTGCTCCAAAGAATAAGAACACTTCTAAAGTAAAAAGAATACCTACACCTTTGAGGCAACCAGAACCAGAACCAGAAATGGCAGACCAAAACAGGAATAGAACCTTAGGGGATTATGCAATTCCTAATTTGCAAGGCTTTACTTCTTCTATAATCAGGCCAACTATCCAAGCCAATCATTTTGAGATTAAACCTGCCCTATTACACTTAGTTCAACAAGATAAATTCTCAGATGGAAATTCTGATGACCTTAACTTACATATCTCAAATTTTTTATAGTTATGTGACACAAACAGGATAAATGGGGTCAGTGAAGAAGCAATCAGATTAAGATTGTTCCCTTTCTCCTTGAGAGATAGAGCCAAGTGCTGGTTTCAAGCTTAACGACAGGGCAGCATCTCTACATGGGCTGATTTGGTGAACAAATTTCTGATTAAGTATTTTCCCTCTTCAAAAGCTACAAAAATCAGAGGGGAGATTACTTCATTTGTTCAACAAGATGGAGAACCCTTATATGAGGCGTGGGAGAGGTACAAAGAGTTACTAAGGAAGTGTCCTCATCACTGCATACCTGAGTGGATGCAGCTTGAAACATTCTACAATGGGATGACTGCTACAACTAAAACTATGATTGATGCAGCAGCTGGAGGATCACTGAGTTCAAAGACATTGGAGGAAGCTCAACAGATTATTGAAATGATGGCATCCTCCATGTATCAACATGTGAATGAAAGGCAAGCTACAAGGAGAGGAAGTTATGATGCAAAATCCATAGAAGCTTTATTTGTTCAAAATCAGTTGCAAAACCAGCAATTTTCTGAACAAATTGCTACATTAACTCAACAAATTAGCAACATGCAGACTGGTAGTATGCTAACTCCACAACTGAATTGTGATTTTTGTGGTGGCAACCATGCAAATGGAGATTGTGACCCTAAAACTGTGGAACAAGCTGACCAAATCAGTTATATGAACAATTACAAAAGGTCACAACAACCATATCCACCTGGTTTTCAGTCTAATAACAATAGAGGGCAGCAATAGTTTTACAAATAGAATCCACAGAACTCAAATGCAAGAGGAAATACAAGTTCTGCACCTTTTCCAAATGCAGCACCTCAATCACAACAACAATACTTCCAAGGAAATTCTTCTGCACAGTTTCAGAAAAATCAAGGGTATCCAAATACAAGACCCTTGAGTGAGAAGGTGAATCGGATAGAAGAAACACTATTACAATTCATACAATTCATGAAGGTGACCCAAACAAACTTCAAGAACCAAGAAGTTTCTATGAAGAAGCTGGAAACACAAATTGGACAGTTAGCTGAGCAATTGTCCAGCAGAGATGAAGGAAGATTTTCCAGCAATACAGTGGTCAGTCCTAAGGAACAATGTCAAGCAATTACCACTAGAAGTTATGCTGTAGTTTCAAGCCCAAAAGCTGCAGAAAAGAAAGACAACACTGAAACAGCAGAAAGAAAAATTGAGCAAGACCTGCAGCAGGAAAATTTCAAATTATTGAAGAGAGATAATGCAGAACAGAAGGCAGAAGCTCCTACACATTTTGAAAGGAAGACAAAGAAACAACTCTTTGAAGATGCTTGCAAGCCTTTAGACCCAGAAAAATACAAGAGGCTACCCTATCCTTAAAGAGTTCAAAATCCAAAGCAAGAAGAACAATTTGAAAGGTTTCTTAGTGTTTTTAAGAAACTGCAGATTAATATTCCTTTTGCAGAGGCATTAGAGCAGATGCCTTCATATGCAAAGTTCATGAAAGAGCTACTTTCTAAAAAAAGGAAGTTAGAGCATGATAAGACTGTACCTTTGATAGAAGAGTGTAGTGCAATCCTCAAGAGGAAGCTTCCTCAAAAGCTAAAAGATCTTGGATCATTCAGCATCCCTTGTGAAATTGGAAACTGCACAGTTGAAAGAGCACTATGTGATTTAGGGGCAAGCATCAACTTGATGCCATTGGTTGTTCTGAAGAAACTTGGCATAGAGGAAGTAAAACCCACCAATATCACACTGCAGTTGGCTGACAGATCCTACACTTATCCTTATGGTGTAGTTGAAGATTTATTAGTTAAAATTGACAAGTTTATTTTCCCTGCAGATTTTGTAATTCTGGATATGGAGGTGGATGCAAACATACCTTTGATCCTAGGAAGACCATTCCTTGCAACAGGGAGAGCTTTAATAGATGTGAAGAAAGGAGAACTTATGCTTCGAGTTCAAGATGAAAAGGTAGTGTTTAATGTGTTTGAAGCATTAAAATATCCAGCTGAAGATAATTCATGTATGAGAGTAGATATTTTGGATTCTATTATTACACACTATCCTATTAATGAACTTGATGAAAATTCTATGTTGAGAGAAACCATAGCTGCAGTAAATACAAATTCTGAGATTTGTAAAACAGAACAAATGATGAAAATTGAGTAGCAACTAGAAGCCCTGCCAATTCAAACTATTGCACAAAATTCAGTTAAAGAGGAACTGAAAAATTAAGTCAAAGAAGAGAAAGAGCAGAACCTAGAGCTTAAGCAGTTGCCATCCCAACTGAGGTATGCCTTCTTGGATAAGAAGCATGAGAATCTAGTCATCATTAACAAGGTTCCAGTCATCATTAACAAGGAGCTGAAGGAAGAGGAAGAGGAAAAACTGTTAAGAGTTCTGAGAGAGCATAAATCCGCAATTGGTTGGAGTATTGCAGATCTGAAAGGTATAAATCCTTCATTTTGTAAGCACAGAATTTTATTTGAAGAAAATTTTAAGCCTGTTGTGTAGCCTCAAAGAATATTGAACCCAGTTATGAAAGAGGTAGTCAAGAAAGAGGTCATGAAGCTGCTAGATGCAGGAATAATCTACCCAATTTCTGACAGCAATTGGGTAAGTCTAGTCCAAGTTGTCCCAAAGAAAGGAGGGATGACTGTTGTAGCTAATGAGAAGAATGAACTCATACCCACTAGGACTGTGACTGGATAGAGAATGTGCATAGACTATAGGAAGTTAAATGATGCCACCAGAAAAGACCATTTCCCACTACCATTTACAGACCAAATGTTGGAGAGACTTGCTGGACATTCATTCTATTGTTTCCTTGATGGTTATTTAGGATACAACCAAATAGCAGTGGATCCTTTGGATCAAGAGAAGACTGCATTTACATGTCCATTTGGAGTCTTTGCATATAGAAGAATGTCTTTTGGATTATGTAATGCCCCTGCCACTTTCCAAAGATGCATGCTTTCTATTTTTTCTAACTTGGTAGAAAACATTATAGAGGTGTTCATGGATGACTTCTCTGTTTTTGGCAATTCTTTTGATGATTGCTTACCTAATCTATCTATTGTCTTGCCGAGATGTCAAGATACTAATCTGGTCTTAAACTGGGAAAAGTGCCATTTCATGGTACAAGAAGGCATTGTTCTTGGTCACAAAATTTTAGAAAAAGGAATAGAAGTGGACCAAGCTAAGATAGAAGTTATTAGTAAACTGCCTCCACCTATTAATGTTAAAGGAGTTAGAAGTTTTTTAGGACATGCTGGTTTTTATAGGAGGTTCATAAAAGATTTTTCCAAAAATGCTAAATCTCTAAGTAATTTACTTGTAAAGGATGTTGATTTCATATTTGATGATAATTTCTTGCATGCATTTTCTGTTTTAAAAGAAAAATTGATTTCTGCACCTATCCTTGCAAAACCAGATTGGAAATTACCTTTTGAACTCATGTGTGATGCAAGTGATAAAGCATTAGGTGCTGTTTTAGGTCAGAGAAAAGATAGGAAATTACATGTTATTTACTATTCGAGCAAAGTGTTAAATCATGCACAAGTGAATTACACAACAACAGAAAAAGAGCTTCTAGCTATTGTATATGCCTTTGATAAGTTCAGATCATATTTAAGAGGTTCAAAAGTGATTGTATACACTAATCATTCTGCACTTAAATACTTGTTATCAAAGCAGGATGCAAAACCAAGGCTGCTGAGGTGGATTTTGCTGCAGGAGTTTGAGCTGGAAATTAGAGACAAGAAAGGAAAGGAAAATGGGGTAGCTGACCACCTGTCCAGACTACCATTGGAGAGTTTAACCACAGAATCATTGGAAATCAATGAAGAATTTCCAGAGGAAAAGTTGTTTGCAGTGGAAAACATGCCTTGGTTTGCTGACATTGCAAACTTTAAGGCAACTCAATTCATCCCAAGGAGATTCACTTGGCAGCAAAAGAAGAAGTTCCTACATGACAGCAGATTCTATGTGTGGGAAGATCCATACCTGTACAAAATTGGAGTGGATGGATTGATTAGGAGGTGCATTCCACAAAGTGAGCAATCTGACATATTATGGCACTGCCACAACTCAGAGTATGAAGGTCATCATGCAAGCTCAAGGACTGCTGCAAAAGTTCTGCTAGCAGGGTTCTTTTGGCTTACACTTTTCAAGGATGCCAAGAAGTATGTGGAGAATTGTGATAAATTCCAAAGAACTGGAAACATTTCAAGAAGACATGAGCAGCCCTTGACAAACATTCTAGAGGTTGATCTATTTGATGTATGGGGGATTGATTTCATGGGACCATTTCCCCCATTGTTTTCACATGAATACATCTTAGTTGCAGTAGATTATGTATCCAAATGGGTAGAGGCCATTCCTGCTAGGTCAAATGATGCAAAGGTAGTGATTTCTTTTATAAGAAAGAATATTTTTGCAAGATTTGGAGTGCCTAGAGTGGTAATAAGTGATGGAGCTACTCACTTATGTAACAAGTATCTTGAAGCTGTATTAATGAAATATGGTGTGAAGCATAAGGTTGCTACTCCATACCATCCACAGACAAGTGGACAAGTGGAGGTTTCAAATAGAGAAATCAAGCAAATTCTAGAAAAGGTAGTGAGCAATTCAAGGAAAGATTGGTCAAAGAGGCTCGATGATTCACTGTAGGCATACAGAACTGCTTTTAAAACTCCAATTGGTATGTCTCCATACCAATTAGTTTTTTGGAAAGGTTTGTCATTTACCCTTAGAGCTGGAACACAAAGCCTACTAGACTACCAAGTGGCTGAACATTGATTTGTCAAGTGCGGGAAAGAAGAGAGTTCTGCAGTTGCATGAATTAGAAGAATTTAGACAGCAGGCTTATGAGAATGCAAAGTTATATAAAGAGAGAACAAAGAGAATTCATGACAAGTTCATTCTGCAGAGACAATTTAAACCTGGACAACAAGTATTGTTGTTCAATTTTAGGCTGAAACTATTTCTAGGCAAACTGAGATCAAGATGGTCTGGACCTTTTGTAATAAAGAAAACATCTCCCTTTGGAGCAATTCTGATTGAGGATCAAAAGACAAGGAGGGAATTTAAGATCAATGGCCAAAGATTGAAGGTTTATCATGGAGAGGAGTTTATAAGGAATATTTCATGCATGAAATTGGTTCTTCTTGAAGTGAGGAACATTTAACGTCAAGCTAGTGACATTAAAGAAGCGCTTTGTGAGAGGCAACTCACATTTCTAACCCATTTTAAATTTTTTTGTATTGTTTTGGGAGTTTGCAATTCAATTCTGCAGTTTCTGCAAATTGTAATTCTGCATATTCATGTTTTATAATTCCCTGCAAGTTCAACTGCATCTGATTTTCTGAAGTGAATCTGATAGTTAATTAGAGATTTGATGTAGTGAATATGTATTTGAAGGTTTAAAATTCTGCATATTTAGATTTTACAACTTTCTGAAAATTCTGCAAGTACTGCTGCAGCTAGTTTTCTGATGTGAATATCATGATTGATTTAGAGATTTGAGGTTGTGAGAAGTAAATTGAAGGATTAGAGTGTGAGAAGTGAGTTAATTGAGGGTTTAGAAGCAATTAACTAATGAAAGGAGTCACTTTGTTTCAGGAAAGAAGTTACGCAGAGAATGCATTTTGAGGATCTCTGTTGGAACAATCACTTTTATTAACAAAAGTGATCACGCAGAGGCATCAAGGTAAAGACTCTCCTCTGGAACACTCACTCTCACTTATGAGAGTGATCACATAGAGACAGATAAGAAAAATTAACTCTCTGGAACGCTCACTTTTCTTGGCAAAAGTGGCTACGTACAGGTAAGTTTGATCTCTCTTATGTGTGTTACTCCATTTTGTGAAAAAAGTTGCAACACTGCTTGCGCGTTATCACTTTGCCCAACAATAGTGATAACGCGCTCCTCACTCAGAAAAATTAACTCTCTGGAACACTCACTTTGATTAATAATAGTAACCACGCTGGGTGTCTTAAATGCTATAACGTTCACTTTTCTGGCTTAAAGTTGTCACGTGCTCACGCGTGACTATAAATATGAACCAAAGTGAACATGCACACACCTTTGCATCCAAAAAATTCTTCTTCTCTCTGAACGTTCTGTGCGACTTCAAGCTTCCTGTGTATCGACCTAGCAATAGCAAGTGTTTCCCCCATATTTCCCCATCTTTTTCATCAGGTACGCGATCCTCTTCTCTCTAAAATAGCATATTAGGGTTTTCTGTGTTAATATTTTGGGGTAACTGAAAAAGGGAGTAATAGGAGATTGTTTTGAGGTTATTTGACTCAATTAAAGCATGGACAATACACTAAATAAGTTCCCCTGTCATTTAAAATTTTTTTAGAAGATTCTA